TACGTGTTTGGTGTTACTAATCGGACTCGTCACATAAAAGAGCTGTCTATGCTTCAAGTGCGTGCAGCATGGAGCGTTCAGCGGAATTGTCCAGCACTCGGGACTGGCTATATTTCTTGTACGGACGTGGAAACTACATTAAAGATAATAGTAAGTGATTTCACCCCTACACGACTGCTAGGAATCGACTGCGTCCTAGGATCGTTAATGGTGTGGTATTTTGGAGACACAAATCAATTGCTTTTGGACCAGTGAGTCTTGACACGAATATTCACTATCAGAATCCTCTTGGCAAATAAAGTTTCGAGTATACTCTGCAAAATCATTTGATCTCAAATAGAGAAGGTTTGTGGATGCTACTACATAGTCATGTGTATGTGTATTAAATGGGTATATCATGGAACTTACGCTCAATGTAGCAACTGACGGCGCGGCATACTTTCGGATACTTGTTGTGGTAGCGATAGATCTCAGAGATCTCGTGAACACTGTACTAGCCAACATATTTGCTATATCAACAAAAATACCCGTGCTACTACAGCGTAATAAGCGTGTGAATAAATTCTGTCAACTTGCGAACGGGTATATGTATGTAAAAAACGGTCTTGTTACTACACAGCTTTCCGAGGGATTGTCCCGTCTCTACATTTCTACAGTCTACAGTCTACACCTACTACATACAACAAAATTTTAAAAAAAAAATTTAAACAATACACTTCACACTCTGTCACAGTGATTGTAAAAATTGGCCACCGATTGGCCCAATTTCAAATGCGAACGTGGATTCCCTTGGTAGACAGCCAATCAGTGGCAAGGAAAACGAATTCTCTGTGAAAGCTGAATGCTCACACTGAGAGTCACTGAGTGTTTGAGACACTGCGAGTGTTGACTGACTGACACACTGCCATACACTCTGACTCAGCCATAATCATTGTCATTCGGACTTCGGGCCTGGCGGCTGGCCTTCGGGCTTCGGGCCTTCGGCTTCGGTTCAAGCCCAGAGGTAAATATGGGATACAGGGTTAGCCCACACAACAAGTCCACACGTCCCAACTCCCAAGTGGCCAAGTCCGGGTCCCAAGTCCCAGTCCTAAGTCCCAAGAGTCCCATCCAAGTTCCCAACTCCCAGTGACCCAGTCCCAACTCCCAACTCCCAACTCCCAAGTCCCACGGTCAGATTTAGTAAAATCTGATACATATCAGACTACAAAGCTGTGATGTCACTGCTCCATGATGTCATACTTCAACTGTAGTGTCTGACTCTGGGCAAGGTACATACATAGCTGTGCCGCGGTGGTATTGATATATTTACCTCCAGCTTTTTATTTTTAGTAACTGATCGTACATAAACTAATAAATACTGTAATCCCATCTACAAATATGTATTCCAAATATATACATAAAAAACCCACCATCATGAATATTCATGTGATGTAAATATGTACAAAAGCTGTATAACAAAGAAAAAGCAGAAATAGCCCGTGTACATACACGAAGAATCATAGCCTTATGAAAATTGAACAGAATCGAACGCTGCCCGATAAACTGACCGCTGAGGCGGCGGATGTGACGGCTCACTCGTACGCAGACGATTAAACCTACACATATATCTTTCAAGGCACGAGTCCAGTGGCTATTCATTATCATCGCCATGCGGAGTAAGGATAAAGATGTGGTTTTGTGTGAGCGTGATCCGAAGGCCGATCGTAATAAAAGTAGTAAGCAGTTGTTGGCGGCGTTTGTGCTTGTGCTAGAGGGTTTGACGCTGACCAAATGAGACATGGTGAATGTCGGGTTGATAAGCATGCCATATAAGGTAGGGCTGACTACTACGAGACGCATGCTTTATGCCTCGGAGTGGTTCAAGAAGCGTTTATTGACTTTCTTCGCACCTTAAGAGAAAAATAAAGACAAAAAACGAGTATTGAGAAGAGAATTGAAAATGAGATACCGGTTGAGAAGGCAATGGAGAACAATGCGAATACACATAGTATAGGTAAAAGTGTATAATGTGATTGACGACGGTGTGCTAGCAGATATGCAAACTTGTGTACACAGAATATTTGACGGTACATATACGAGTGAAAATACTAATCCAAGAGCATGCTACTACACACTCAACGTATGACAGTTAGGGCGTGGGAATGATATGACTGTAGCATATGGTAAATGCCGTTAAAGAGACTGAATAAACCCCTTAGACTGGCCACCCAGAAGCAACGTACCTGCGTCTGGTACCAATCCAACGGATTTTAAAACATTGTAGGCACGGATGTGTTGTACTTGGGGGAAGGACTTGAGATAAGGTGCTGGTTTATTGAATGTTCCTTTAACTAGTATAAAGGAAAGTACACGACAATGTCTCGTTCACAATTCATTTGCTCGCTGGTTTCTGGAATGTTTCTCTAACTAGTATAAAGGGAAGTACACGACAATGTCTCGTTCATAATACATTTGCGCGCTGATTTCAAATTCAGATTACCGTGTGGTAGAAGCCATCGACTCGTTCTATGCTACCGGAAATGGGTGGCAACAATGACGCAAACCTCTTCGGTAAAAACGTGTTCGCGGAATCAATATGCCCAAAAGTGTGGATTCCTCCTCGGTTTTGCGTGACCGAAGCATCGCATACGTTCTGGATCCAGCATTTGGATCAAGACCGAGTACAAGTGTGAGTGCTGACAATTCCAGGAATCCCATAACAATGAAAATTGCGGGTGTACCTGGGATGATGAGAATACTAATGCTACAGGTCAAGATTTAGAACAAAAGGTGCACCCCATTTTCAATTGAAGATATATCAGACATTTAGTGTGATCACTTCTCGTCCCCCAATAGATAGTATATGGCTCGACTTTTTCAGCATATACATAATCAATAGGAGGTAGTGATCTGATTTAAAGCAGACGTTTTCTCTTGTTAGCTTGCTTCCGGATGAGAATCGTCCAGCCGCCAAATGCTACGGGCCCATACGGTAGAACATTGCTCGGAATTATCGCAGATTTACGATTTATTGCTTTATTAATTATTCCCTTCCAACAACAGAATGCTTATACATTTTAATAAATCAGTATCGCCTCAAAAGAACCTCAAGCCCACGAGAGGTTATACATACTCGGGATAAATTTACTCAAATGATTTATATTTTTATACTACCGAGTTCGGAGAGGTCTTCGCACTTGCGGCTTATAGACTCGGTTTAAGAGCATAATCTGCTACGTTATTTGCTTCTTACATCACCCATCGCCCCTCAATAACTCGATGGAGGAGGTGGCGGCGGCGGCTGGCCATAACTCTGTGGTGGAGGAGGTGGTGGTGGTGGTTGCTGCTGCTGTTGCTGTTGGAATAGAATGGAGCAAAGAGTGAGCCAAGAGAGTAACCACCAAAGATACCAATGTTTCTCAAAGTCAAGCGTAGTGAAATACAGCCCGATTATTATCTGATAAATGTAGTGCCAATACGTAGACCACACGCCGTTGCAAAAATTATAAAAATTAGTCTAGGGATGTACCACATACCCAGGGGAGTGGTGGCTGTTGTGACATGGCACCGTAACCCAGGTTGCCCTGTTGAGGGACTTGACTGTTCTGTGCCCAGGGCTGTTGCCCGGGAGGTCCTATGATTTCGAGAGATGAGAGAGTTGATAATATTAGTTCTCGTACCTAAGTCTTCTCTGTCGAACACTAATGTTAAGCGATCGTATAGATTGGAAATACAAGCAGCAACCATATAAGACCTTGCATAACTGTACCGATGGTACAAACAAACGCGGCAGTATTCTAAACATACCTCTATTCCATGCCGCATTTTGACCCGCACTTGGTGGAGGGGGTGGTGGCGGCTGATGTTGACCGGCATACTGACTCTGGCTTTGGTTGTACTGACCAGGCACATGTCCACCACCATATGCGCTCGCAGGTGGGCCACCCGGCGGCATTTGGGGCTGCTCCCATGGTAGTCTTTGCCCTGTAGCACCCTGTTGTGGTGCACCACCTCGGTTCTGGTTCTGGTTCATATTCTGGGCGGGCGGGGGTGGAGGTTGTTGTGATGGTGCTTCCCAGGGAGGTCTGATACCATCAGAGGGTGGAGGTGGGGGTTGGTTGTTTGATGGTGGTGGTGGTGGTGGTGGCTGCTGTGGAGGTGGGGGCGCGGACGAGTGTGGGGGGGGTGGGGGAGGTCCGCTGTTCATTCCATTATTGTAATTGTTGTGATTACTATTAATATTACTATTGTTGGTGGTGTTGGTGTGGCTGTTATAGCTGTCATTGGGCTTGGCATCCCACGGTTGTCTTCCCCCCGGTGGAGCCACAGAGGCATTAGTATCCCATGGGGGTTTATTCCCCGACAAGAGCGGTGCCTGTGAGGGTGCGGGCCTATCCCAGGGTTGTCTACTGTGATTGTCGCTACTACCGTTACTCCTGCTGTTGTACCTATCATTCGCGCCCGGTCGATTTGGTCCCGAACTTTCCCACGGCGCCCTGCTATTACCACCTTGTGGTGGCGGGGGTCCATTTTGGCGGTCGCGCGGCGGTCCATTGTTCTCCCATGGGGCACGCGCTCTGTCATGCGGTGCTTCACGATCCCACGGATTCCTACCTCCGGGCTGTGCGCCAGAGTTGCGCTGAGGTGGTGGCCCATCCAGTAAACCGCCGCTGGGCGGAACTCGACGGCCTACGCGTGTGTAGAAATGAGATTACAATGAGGTAGCAATGAGGTGACAATGAGGTGGCAATTAAGTGATGAAGGGATTGAAAGGAGAAGTTCGGGCAATACTGACATGCTGCAACAAAAGGCGAATAATACATAATACCGAAATCGACTTTGCATATGGCATAAGGATCTGAGAATCTCAATTGCAAACGCACTCGTATTGCTTTCATGCAAGGGTGTGACGTGAGCCCGTACACGTGAAAGGTCCTGCAGACTCAAAACACACTATACACGCGATACCGCATACTGTACAACTGCATACGTACCGGGAGGCTGGCCAACAAGCCCACCCTGTCCAACCGGACGCGCTCCGCCAGGGGCACTTAGCAACGGTCCGGGTCTTGAGCCCCGAGCAGCACCATCATTCGATGATGGTCCATGATTGTTACTGTAGTTGTTGTTCTGGTTGTGGCTCTGGTGATCTCTGCCAGCATCCGAGGTTCCTTGCTGAGAAGGTCCATCCATGAGTGCAGGCCTGGATCCGGGCTCCACAGCCGGCGCGGGTGCCTTACCGCCACCCCCCTCGAGTTCAGCCATAAACGATAAGTACTCGTTGTCGATATTCTCACCACTTTGTTTCTGGGGCACCCCTCCAATCTCCCTTTGTGCACAATCCTTACCGATGTGTCCATGCCCACCACACACACTGCAAACAATGGTTTGCACTGCGTTTCGGCGCTCTGTGCACTGCCAGTGCCTGTGGTCTGTAGCCCCGCAGTTCGAGCAGTTCTGGGCCAAGTCTTCTCGTAATGTACCATTGAGAGCAGCCAGTTCACGCAATTGTAGCGACTTCAACTCATTGGCCGAGTCGGGTGTCTCAATACCCTGCATGGAAGGTAAATAATAATAAAATTAACTGATGCAAAACAACCAACAGTGATTCTCAATTCAGAATATGGCAGCCGGCTTTGAACAAACTGTAGCAATATGTGACAGACACAAAATTTCGCACGGCAAAACGACGACATACCACTTTGATGATGTTCTGCACCAGGTCTGTGCCTTTCTTCACGACGATAGCGTCGGGTCCAGTGATCATAGCGTGCAGTTGTTCGTTTTCCCCGGGTATGGGAGCGCCGTCTCTTCGACCTTTGCCCTCTTTAACAGAACCTTTACCACGGATCTGTATACAGGTAACGACAAACAATAACGATGAAAACTCTAGTATTTTCCTGGCCAGAATATGTAATAGGCTCTCAGGTACACGAATGATAATGAAATCAAGCGCCCACGAGTGGTCACACTTTAAATATGCGTCAACGGGCACTGCCGCATACCAAATAACAAAATGCCAAGAGCAATACAGAGAGCTAGATCAGCGCGCGAAAGTGAGCATATTCGTTCAACAAAAGGAAGGTTTAATACTCCGTCTCCAGAGTTTGCACATATGCTATCTTACCATAATCTTTGCTCCAGAATCTCTCTCCATCTTCTTCAAAGTATTTCCACGTGGACCGATCAGAAGCCCTATGAAATTAACATGCGGGTTTTCTTCTTGCGGAATATCAACTCGATCTTGGTAGCGCTTCGGCACTGGTTTGTAGTCTGATAAGGCCAAATGAGAAATCAGAACGCATTGATAAAAGATTATTCAGCACGAGAAGTCGAAAAAAAGCATTCTTCCCCATTAAATTTAATCTCATACCGAAGGCAGATGATCACGCTAGAGTTGAAATAATAGATGAGATCATCGCAGGGG